AAAAAAAAAAAAAAAAAAAAAGGAAAAGAAAGAAAATGTCCTGAAGTTCTTTATGGTGATGATTGAAGAACTCAATGCTATAATGAAAACCATTTAATTATACACTTTGGGTAAATTGTCTAGTATGTGAATTATATTTCAATAAAGCTATGTAAAGGAAATCAATGGGAAATTGATTTTTATAAACATAATTATGAGGGACATTAACAATAAACCTTCTTAAATAGCCAGTTGTCCTCTCAGATCCCAAGATTCAACCACCTATGGACTGAAAAATAATTTTTTAATTGCACCTGTGTTGTGAGGTGTGGTGGTGCACACCTGGTAATCCCAGCAATTGGGAGGCTGAAACAGGAGGATCGTGTTGTTGAGGCCAGCCTGGGCTACATAATGACTTCCAGGTCAGCCTGAACTGCATAATGAGACCCTGTTTTAAAAAAAAACAAAAATAAAACAAAAATAAATTGCACCTGCGCTGAACACATAGATGTTCCCCCTTTTTCATTAATACAGGATAATAAATTTATGTATTTATTTAATTATTTAGAGACAGATTCTCACTATGTAGTTCAGACTGACCTGGAGCTCACTGTGTAGCCCAGGCTGGTCTCAAACTCTCAGTGATTCTCCTGCCTCAGCCTTGCAAGTGCTGGGATTATAGACATGCACCACCACGTCTAGCTAGGATAAAAACTATTCACCTGGTGCTTGTACTGCCCTAGGAGGAGGTGGGTGGTGTTGATCACCCCTAGAAAACCCAAACCCACTAGCAATTACTCCCCATTTTGCTCCAACTCACTCATTTCTGGGCAACTGCTACTCCACTTCCTGTACCTATAGATTGTCTTTTTCAAGATACTTTATATAAATGACTTCTCCCAACCCATTGGTATCTTGTGGCTATTTTCACTTAGCATAAAGTTTTAAAAATTTGCCCATGTTGTAACATTTATCAGCACTTCATTCCTTGTTATGGTCAACTCATGTTCCATCTCTTGGGTATACTGTGTTTATTTCTCCATCCCTCAGTCCATGAACATGCGCGATGTTACCACTGTGGGTATCGGGAATCAAGCCACTACGTGCATCTGTGCACGAGCTCGTGCACGGATACCTGCCTTCGTTTCTCTTGGTTTCTACATCTACAAGTGGAGCGCAAAGGGTCCCGTGGTCCTTCTGTTTAACCTTTTGAGGGACTGCCTGGCAATACCATTTACACTTCTCTAGGCAGTGCAGGAGGGTCTCACTTTCTCCACACCTCGGCAACACTTAACTTTGTTATTATCATTGTGTGGTTTCCTCTCTTGCTCTCTCTCTTTGGTACTGGAGAACTCAACCCAGGCCCTTACACATGCTAAGCATGTACTCTGTCACAGAGCTACATCTACCAGCCCATATCCTGCTGTTTTTTTAAGGTACTGGGGATTGAACCCAGGGATATTCTACCACTGAGCTACATCTCCAACCCTTTTGTTTTTTGAGACAGTAGTTCAGCTGGCCTTGAACTCACAGCGATCCTTCTGCTCCAGCCTCCTGAGTGCTGGGATTATAGGCATGGGCAACCATGCCCAACCCTCCAGCCCTTTTTATATGTTCTTTTGAGACAAGGTCTTACTAGATTGCCCAGCCTGGCTTTGAACACAGAATCCTCCTGCCTCAGCCTCCTGAGTAGTGGGTATCACAGGCAGCTTTAACGTATTCCTTTATTGCTGAAAATTTCCATTGCCTCCAGCTCTGGCGATGATGATTACCACAGTGAAGAGTGGCTTCTTCCTTATGATAGCACCCAATAGCTGGGGGTATGGAACTAAGACTGCGGTCTTTCCATGTCTCTTAATTAACACTGGCAGCTGTCTTCAGAGTGGTTGCCGTGATCCTACTGACTGCATTCGCAGTAACGCCAGAGGGAGCTGTTTCTGATGCCTGGACCGGTACTGCAGATCAGATATTGATGGGACAAAAGCAAAAACAACAGGCACCTCCCTGGTACTTCAATGGGCACCATCAATTACCGGGAAAGCTGCAGAGTTGTCTATTGTAGTTCCTCTTTTATGAATTATGTTTGGATCCATTGCTCATTTATATATTGCATTCTTAATCTTTTTCTCAAAATTTTCCAATTTTCACGAATGGTTTGGCAAAGTAAGGTCTTTTCTTTTCGAGACTGGGTCTCACTGTGTAGTTGACACTGACCTGGAACTCACTATGTAGCCCAGGCTGGTCTCGAACTCACAGCGATCCTCCTGCCTCAGCCTCCCGAGTGCTGGGATTACAGGCGTGCGCTGCCACACCCGGCATAAGGTATTTTCAATGTGTGCAAAAATGTTTACATTTTTAGGAAGTCAACTCTACTTGTCTTCTTGGTGACTTCTGTGGCTTGGAGAATTACCTCCACTCTCAGAAGTGACTTCCGTCGTTTTAAACGGATGTTGTCCCCGCTGTGGGATTGCGTGCGATCCGCGGAAGTGGATCGATTGCCCCCACTATTGCTGAGCGCACCCCTACTCGCGACGCGAGCCTCCTTCCGCCGTGATCTTCCAGCGCGAGACGCCCTCTAGGGGAGCTGGGTGGACTCACACCCGCAGCCTACCCACAGCCTGGCGACTTCCCGTTCTTCCTGCCCAGAGGCTGATAACAAGGGTCACAAAGGCCCGGAGGGGTAGCGGGCGTCTGGGGAGGCGGGGCGTCTGCCGACCGCCGCTGAGCAGCTATCTGCACGCAGTTACGGATTAGAACTGAATCATCCCAAAGCCTCCTGTGTTAGGAAGGGACTGGGTCCCTGGCCCTGTAGGCACAGTTGACTTGCTGTTGGGGCGCAGCCGGGATAGAGGCAGCCCTCCCCGGTGCCTTCCTTCTCCCTCCTGCCCTGCTGCCATGGGCTGAGCACCTTCTCCTCCGCCTGGCCTCCTGCCTTGGAGCCCAGGGACTGAAACTGTGGGTCAGATAAACCCCGCTTCCTTAAAGTTGGCGTTGGGTATTTGTCCCAGCGAGGGGAAAGGGGCCAAGACAGATGTCCCAACCACTTGTCTGCCGTCATCGACCTTGTGGCTTTGAGCAAGTTTCTCAGCTCTTCCGAGCCCTGTCCTCTCACTTACAAAATGAGAATGTCACGCAGTCCTGTGTGTCACACCGAGCAGCATGTTTAGATGAAACATGGCGAGCCTTACCTGGTACAAGAAAACGCCGTGATGTATATGGGAAGCATGTGCTGGTTACTGCGCACGTATTTGAGGGGTCCTGAATAAATAACAATGCACCCGAGTGATGGAATCAACAGGTCTACTGCGCCCCTTTGTGCCAGTCACTATTCTGGATCTGGGGACCAGCTTGTGAACTGCCATCATGGCTTTTGTTCTAGAGGAGAGAATTTAGCCATACACTCAGTGAATGAGTAAGATCGTCTCAGGCGATGTAGATTTATCGGGTTGGATGTGTCACTCCTGCTTGAAAGGTTGTGAGCGGGTCTTTATTTGCAAAAGGAGTCTTTGCGGTTGACCGGGTGAGCAAGTCCATTCGGGCGATCCCTCATTCACTACGCCTGGTGTTGTCACGAGAAGGGACGATCTGGACACAGAGACAGATACACACAGAAAGAAGATGACTTGAAGAGACACTGTCATTTCCAAGCCAAGGGACACCTGAAGCCACCAGGAGCTGGGAGTTGGGTCTTCAGCAAATTCTTCCTCCAAGCCTCCCAAGGGGGCATGGTCCTTGGATAGCTTGGCTTAAGACTTCTGGCCTCTGGAAATGGGAACCAGTAACTCTCTCCCGAGCCAGGCCTCCCATAATGACGATAACTACTATAGTCTGAGGCATGACTTCTTCATGCTGAGCACTGAGCGGATAGTTTGTCAGCCATTCCTTTCCTAACATTAATCAAATTTTGCAATTACGTTGCGAGTTTACTTCAGTGTCTTTCCAGTATTGTGCCCTACCACACCAGAGACCTTTAGAATTTTGTTTACCTTTTATTTCCAGAGCTGAGCCACAGGTAAGCTATTGAGGATGTCAGATGGGGTTACGGCCACACAGAGACACCGGAGACCTCTGCAGTAGGTTCCAGTCTCTGGCCCAGTGTATGATGCGGGGGTTGAAGAAAAACTCAAAGAATTAAAGAAAAAGTGGGGAGCCAGGATGACCAGTGCTATTTATTGATGACATCATGGTCAGATTGGGGCAAAGGGACTATGTGAGGGGATGCGAAGTTGCTATGGCCATGTTACTGATGCAGGCAAGGTTTGTAAAGGAAAAAAAGTATTCTTCTATTAGGAACAGAACAGAGAAAATATAGTTAAGAAAGTTTTAATTGTGGGAAGGGAATCTGGGTAAGAATCACTCTGACCCGTAGGCTTCGGCCAGACTTGCTTCTCGAAACAAGCCAACTGTGGGGTTAACTCTTCACAGACTGCTCTTACAGCCTGCTTTGGGCATAATCAATAAGGCGGTCCCCCCCCCACAGATGTGAGGTTAAGTGTAAAAACATACAGCAAGTGTTGAAAACTTGATATAAAAACTTTTTTGCAGACAGGGTCTCACTATATAGCTTAGGCTGGCCAGGTTTGCTGTATAGCCCAAGTTGGCGTCAAACTTTTGGTGATCCTCCTGTCTCAGCCTCCAGAGTGCTGGAATTACAGGCATGTGCCACTACACCTGGCCCTGATATTTCTTATATAGATTACGTGTTGGTAGTATAGTCATCCCTTGGTACCCCTGGGAGATTGGTACTCCCCAATACGATGAAAATGCTACGTAAATAATAGCTATAATGTACCATTTAGGGAAAAATAACAATTTAGAAAAGTCTGGACATGTGTAATTTGTGTTTTCCACTGGCTGTTTGGATCCAGAGGATTCAAAACTCACACAGAAGACTGACTATATAAATTGGGCTTAAAGTATGGTTAAGGGCCAGGGATTTAGGTCAGGGGCACCTTGCCTGGAGTTCATCGCCAGGGGCGGGGAACCCGCACAGGAGAAGCTGTCGGCATTGCTCCAGTCTTAGCCCACAGCGGCAGCCCGGGCGGGGGCGCATGCGGACTCCGACCTCGACTCCAGCTCAGGCCACCGGCTTCCTCTCGCTACGTCACCGGGGCGCGACGGGGCCGTCCTGCGGGCGGCAGTGGTGCAGGTCTCCGCTGAAAGCGCGTTCTAGACCAACGGAGGGCCCAATCGTCCCTGGGTCTCTCGGCAGCACTCTCCTCAGTAACCCCTCGTCCTCAGCGCCCCCTCTTTCCCTTCGTCGCTTCCGGAACCCCGGAGACCG